GGATAGAAACTCGAGTAGGGATATCCGAATGACCGGACGCGGGTTGAGTGATTCCATTGGCCCTAATGGAAGACTAAGGAGGCCAGGTGATACATATTCAGGCACTATTCCCCAAAACATAACACGGTTTGCTCCAAAACCAAGCGGCAACTCGAGTGCAATTAGAATTCCCTTTGCGTGCTTCCAACAGTCGAGCGGTGTTGAATAAATATTCAGGACTTGTAAGGAAATTATGACAAGAAGTTTAAACCGCCGTCGAACAAATTATTCCCGAAAGATATTCTATATACGCACCAAGGAGGATTATTTGCCGGCTTCTACCATGAGCTAATATTCGGCATGTCGCTTCTACTGCACCTACAATATCATACCTGCAGAGAAACACAACCGAAAATCAGAACATGCCATTAACATAATTGAATTGCAGTTTAAGAATTAAGAAGAACTGAAGTGAGATAGGTTCAGACCTGAGTTGTAAACTCATCATCGGGCGGAAATTCGAGCAGCCGGAAGGGAAACAACCTAGGTTATCGCCAACTCCCTACGAAAGAATTGAATTTCGGACAAATAAGACGACTGATTTCAGACAGCTCTCAACACAGTTCGAAGGCATCGACGATATTCGAAGGCAATGGCAATCCTAAACTCTTAGTTCAGACACAATGTCATCATCACCGCATCGAACCTTCCTTGGCGGCATAAAACCGACAATATCTGAACCTAAAGTGAGTGTTTTCCTGAAAGAAGAAGAGAAATGTTAAGACAGTTCAGAACATAATCTGAAGTTCATCAAAAGAGGTGCCAGAACAATTAACAATAATATCCTCCAAACGCATTGGAATAAACACGAAGCATTTCATACTGAAAATTGACAGAAAATCAACATGAATCTTTCTTATTTAAATTGGCGGAAACAAATCAGGATGAGAGCAGGGTTTGCTAAGAGTTAGCAAGATCATGAATTTTCGGAGAACGCCGCCAGGGAAATCCACTAGCAGCCTCAGCCCTTAATTTACCTGCATAATACCCAACAAATCGCATAAAACCAACTGGTTCGGCCTCAAGGTCATTTCCGAGAACAAGTTCCCCACCATCAACAACGTAGCAGCAGCCTTGAAGTATACACCCAACCGAGCATCTGGATTTTGCCACAGTTTTATCCTGCCATATCTCAGACCGAATTTACTAACCGCTTTCGATTTTCTTACAACTCAATGAGACGTTAATCGGCGCTCCGTCTTGGCTCACCTGCATTGCAAAGAAATGAAACATGAGCAGAGATAGTTTGTTCTAACTAAGAAGAGAATCAAATGTTTTTTCAGAGAGAGAACTAGAGCTTTCATCAGGGGTGACAGCAATTCGACTAAAAAACTTTTCTAAACATGATCAGAGGGATTCAACGACATCATCAAGAGAAAAAAGCCATCATATTCTCGATAATATCCACCCTTTCCAAAACGAGGAGGAGTCTCCATCAACCTGCGTTAAGAATCGAAAACATTAAAGCAAGATCAAACATGTCTCCAAAACCAAGCAAACAGGTTACATACATGTCTTAAACCGAAAATGAAAGGGGGTAATTATCATTAAGAATGGGTTCCATTTCGGCCATCTATATAAGAGAAGATTTGAGACGAAGAGGGGGGGGGGGCAGAACTCACAACCTACACCGAATCCTCACATTTGAAGATCCCAAATTAACAGCAACCCAGAAACACACAGCACTCTACAAAAATCCCAAATTGAAACCCTATAGATCGAAGAGAGAGAAATACTTATCTATTTTCTCAGACTCCGCCGGAAATCGCCACACCGCCGCGAACTCCTCACTTCCATCGCCGTCTTTGCCAAAGCATAGGACAACCGCCGTCGTCTTCCTCGTAACCTTCTTTTTATTATTTTGTCTAAACTGTGTTTTTATGTAGGTTATATTCAGGGATTTTTTTTCATGTAAAAGGATAAGAAGGTAGAAATCGTAGAAGAAATTGATGGAGAGAAGCGAAGAATAGGAGGCAGAAGGGAGAAGACGGAAGCAAGACTGGAGAGAGGGGAAAGAACAAAGAACGACGAACGGGGGAGGGGAATGGGGATTAGGTTTTTGGTTTTATGTTATTGTAATATAATGTATGCTCACACACCACAATCCCGTACACCACACACATGCAACCCTTGGATCTCCAACATATCCACATTGTACGATCCACCTACGCAGCCCCACCATGAGCCCGCATCCGCGCGTCACACTCAATCCCTCGCCCATTAATCCAAACCACTAATATGCTCTTTTTTAATATAACAATAATAAAACATTTTATTTTATTTTACTAACTTTTAAAATAATATCTTCTAATTAGACTTTTTATCAACTTAATATCCTTTATTATAATAATTTAAAATTGCACAAAAAAAACCTTTTCCTAATTAACTTATATCTAATAGTATACAACCTTTTTTTATAATATTAAAATTCTTTCTTAATTAAATCAACTTAATAATGACAACTTTTATATAAAATGAACTATTTCACATTCAATTAATTTTTGTTAATAAGGCAAATAAATAAAAAACCTTTCAGATATTTTAAAATCCTTTTATTCAAAATGAACCAATTAAAACTTAATTAATTCACCAACTTTTATTAAAACTAAAACCAATCAACTTATAATTTAATTTAATTCAACATTTTTCTTAAAAACTAATCCCTAAAATCAATCCCCCGCATAACTTAATCAGTCGCGCATGCTTCCGTCTCTCAGCACCCATTCGATTATTCACAATTTACACACTTGTCTTATCGCTTTCATGCGTTTGTGTATGCTTTACTTTATCTGCAATTTATCTTTATCGTCATTTTATTTTATCGTATTGCATAAACGTCCAAAGGAAGAATCTGCGCATAACGTGAAACTTGTGCGTATGCATTTCATTTGCATTATAATCCCCACATGATCTTTGATCTCGTTCAAGTTGTTCTCTTAAGATAGATCATACCCCATAAGGAGGACCTTTTCTTCTATTTTTTACAACATAGATAAAACCAATCAATATTCAACTCAATTCAAACTATTAGAGAATAAAATGTTAGTCATCTTGACCGTCGGATATAAATCTCCTGCCCCATAACAATACAATCGAGATATAAGATCTTTCCCGCTTGAGAGTGATAGTGACATACTAGTCGACAATCCGAGTGTTTGAGCCCTTCTCTCAAGATGATGCAAAGACCATCTCCTACAAAGTTGTGGTGGTTAAGTCAAGTAATCTCCTTCGAGATGACAACTCGTCTTTTCTCCTAGACTCAATCAATCAACAACCTTTATCCCTTTGGAACTTTGACCACAGTCAAAGAGCTCCTCAAACCCTTTAGGGGAACTACAAATACTCTGATTCCATTTCCGTCAGGATATGTAGGCACAAGATGCGACGTCTTGGCGAGTATACTTAGAATTAAACCACTAGGTCTTTCATCCTTAAGCAGATAACCTTAGCAATAAACAACATTAAAACAAGAGGTTCTTGTAGAGTACTACAGAAACTTAGGATGCTAACACCTTTCCTAAGTTTAACCAACCCCCGAACCTATAACTCTCTAGCTTTTACATTTGCATTGCATTGTGGGTAATTCGATCTTTTCCCCTTCCTTTGGACAAATAAAAGACCGGTTGTAATGAATTTAGATTTAAACTAATCAATAGTTTGGTATCCAATTTTCACCGCAACAAAGAGCATTTCCCTTAAAAATTCATAAGATGTGAGAGAATCATTTAAAATGTAATCAATAACCCCCCATTTACATCCCGTACCCAACCCATCATTTATATCCCGTACCCAACAAAATTGAATACTACCTCCATTTTAAGATGAGTGTTGTTTTAACAAAAGTAATTTGTTTCAAAGTAAATGTCATTCTCATTTTTCAATTTAAAAATGATTCATATTTTTTCAATGGTATCTTTTAGTTATTGTTTCAAAGTAAATGTCATTCTCATTTTTCAATTTAGAAATGATTCCTATTTTTTCAATGGTATCTTTTAGTTATTATTTTGTACACATTTATATGGTTAATTTAATAAAGATATTTTTCAATTTAGAAATGATTCCTATTTTTTCAATGGTATCTTTTAGTTATTGTTTCAAAGTAAATGTCATTCTCATTTTTCAATTTAAAAATGATTTTTATTTTTTCAATGATATCTTTTAGTTATTATTTTGTACACATTTATATGGTTAATTTAATAAAGATATTTTTTACGACAATATCATTACATTTTTCAATTTGTGTATAAAAACCTTAAACATCAATTATTTTAAAATAGATTAATTACCTTTTTTTTTCACTATAATCCATATTTCCATTTAATCCACTTTTCTAAAATAAAAAACCTTTCTAACTTCCTTGAAAAGTTACATTATCTTTAATGTTTTCTTTGAAATAAAAAGGTATAAAACAATCAATATGACCTTATCTAATTTTTAACCATATATCCGGATTCTATTCAATCAATGAGCATTCTACTTTCAGCTGCTTCAACAAATCACAAATATGGTGTGAAAAACAAATATAGATAAATGTTATCCCAAAATATGAACAGATAATAATAAGATCATATTATTAATTTTTCAGCAATGATGTAACCTTAAGGTATGAAATGTTAATCCATGTAAATCTAGCACCTCCACAATATTAAAAATGCAATGAGAATGAAAATTCTCACAAGAAATTGTTAATCAAATGCAATACAATCCATTTTCCACCATTCTATAATTAATATGTAATCTCTAAATCTTGTGTCAACTCAGTCACAAAGGCAAACAAAAAAATGCCTTGGTGTTAATGAAACAAAATTACACAAATGATTCACACCATAAGATATGAATCATTACCAACTTATGAATACAAATAACAAGCCACATTTTTTATGTTAACACTTACATATAATACAATGGAGAAAAACTCAGTATAATTACAAGGGAGAAAAGTGTGATCTTAAGGAGATTCATCAAGTCCCTAATGGAGCTCTGTCATCTGGTCCAGCAAGCATGATCTGCCATTTACATCGGCAATATAGCAATTAGAATCAATAAAGAACAAACTTAAAATTTATTTGTCTGGTGTATGACACATGTCATTGTCGATACTACAAACACATGTGTTACATTCAAATACTTCAGTTACTCAAAGTATTACTAGTATCAACGTGTCATGTGTATAACATGTATCAATGTTGCACTGACACGTGTGGTTACATTCAAATACTTCAGTTACTCAATATTATTATTGGTGCCAAATACTTCAGTTACTCAAAGTATTATTGGTGTCAACGTGTCTGGTGTATAACATGTGTCACTGTCGACACTGACACATGTGGTTACATTCAAATACTTTAGTTACTCAAAGTATTACTAGTGTCAACGTGTTAATGTCAGCGTTTATTTGGTGTCTATTTTTTCAATTATTTTTCATTATCAACTATTAATGGCAAAATTAGTGGTTGGTATTTCACCGTATTCGTGATTTATTATGAATGTGTGTGTAATATAATCATTTTGATTTTCTTATCTGACAGATAGAACTGAGGCGTAAACTTAGAAATTGTTTAGAAAGCCATACATTGCAGTCAAACGCAAATCTCCTTGCAAGCATGATGGCTGCATTCCTTTCTCGCTGAGATTCAAAAGCTAATACGAAAGATTGTCCTTGTTTTGGCTGCCAAAATAGTGCCTGCGCTGCAGCATTTCCACCACCTCGAACTCCACAAAGCTAAAGAAAACGTCACCAAAAGCACATTGGTCATTGCTTAAATGAAAATGATAAAGCTAATGATAGAACTTGAAAATAAATTTACAAGTTACGAGCAAGAATCATCTTGAACTAGAAAGCATTGACAATTCGAAAATACCTGCATTGAACTTGAATAATATTCTTTGGCAATTGTTGTTTTTCCTTTACAGAGTTTGATCCTCATCTTTCCAACATGAAGTATATGGATAGACTCAGTTGGATGATGTAAACCACTCGTCTGAGTTACGATTACCTGCAAAATAGTAAATTCAACTACAATATTATTGTCACAAAATAATCACTTCTCAGTATTTGATATCGATGCTCGCTCACATGGTACTAAAAGGGTGAAAATGAAAAGTAAAAGAATTGTAACAACATACATTGAATTCGGTGTCGTGTTTTCGCACAAGTGCCTCTACATAGGTTCCCAAACCAGCAGCTGCATAAAGAGCATAAACACAATTTAAGCTCAACTTGATTTTGCAACGAAACAGGTCTCGGTTTCTTACACTCTTAAGACAGCACCTCTGTAGTTTCGATAGAAACAAATATATATTCATCTAAATCAAATGTGGATGATTCAATGAAACCCTACCAGGATCTATTGGACCAGTGGTTGCAAGTGTGACATGCTGGTTTTCTGAAATAATATCAATTTGCAATATGCGTCCGACATCAAAAGGTTCGGGTGCATAAACGGATTTGGTAGCTCCTGAGAGAGATAATTGCATTATCAAGGATAGAAATAGAAACACAAAAATGACATAACTTGCAAGCTCAATATAAAAAAGCACTGCAATAGAAAACGCTGTCTTCGACAAGTTTTCATCGTCAAAAGTAAATACCTGAGATAAGTTCTTTTTTGGCACCATCAGACGATACACGATACCACTGAATTGAACAATTTGAAACGTCTGGGGCATTATCAGAGCAAGGTTGAATTTGCAAATAAGAACCTAAGGTTTCATTCCCTTCAAGTTCATATAAATGAGGAACATTTTCTTCTCCTTTCTTTGTCCTTGTAAGCTGAAAAATATCGTGAAGGATAAACAATAATGAGTTAAAGAAGCTTACAATGAAAGACAGTCATATAACTACAACGTTTAATAAGAGAAATTTATCATTCACTTGGGACAATAAAAAATGGTATAACATCAATGTTCAAACTCTAATCCATATTATTAAAAATATCAAGTAACTACAAAATCTCTTCACTTCAGCATAGATTATACGGGAATATACCTCCTTCTGAAGTCGAAGATAATGTCTAGTCTTCTCCGCAAGTTGAGCTCTCAATGCTAAAAGCTCATGTTCCATATCCATGACCTATAGATCAATCAACAATGAACATATTCATTTCCTTGAAATAACTTGATGAAGTTGAAGAAAATAAGAAGAAATCCAATTCCAGGTGAGACTGAATAGGGATAGTATTTCATGTATACCTTGCTTGGTTGATGGAGCATTTTGATTCTTCGAGCCTCTTGAACCTCCTTCATTAATTGTTCCACGTCCTAAAGGAATAAAACCAAAACATTTTCACACAAAAATTTGCTCAGTTAACACCGATCTACCAGTATTTGTTTCCTGACAAAAAATCAAGATAAGGCACAAACCTGCTTCCCAGAAGCTTGAGACATTCTCTCATGCTCTTGAAGTGACTCTTCCACTCTCTGAACAGCTGCCCTCGCATTATCTATTTCTGAACGAGCGAAAGCTCTTTCCTCATCAACAAGTTTCTTAGCTTCTTCAGAAGCCTGTAAATGAATCTATACGCTTAGAATTGGTATCGGAAATTTTCTTACATTTGCATGTATAGAAGATGTAATGAAAGAAAATCTATTTCATAACAGAAACAAAATCCTTTTATAATACTGTAAGGTTGGAAAAAAAAAGTTAGCATCACCTGCTTAAGAAAATTTGCCAATTTCTTCACCTCTGCCTTCTCTTGAATTAGTTCCCCTTCCCTTTGAGTTAATTGAACTGCTAGAGCTTCAACCTAAAGAGTGCAATGAAAGTACTATGATGATAAGAATTTTTTTTCTTAAAGCTTGTGAAAAATTTATGAAAATCATCCACAAGCTTATTCGCAATGCATCTTCATTAACACACACACTTTACCACCATGATCTCTACAATGTGAGCTTCATAAGAGGTTCTTTAAGCATGTAACTATTAGGAAGAAAGAAATTAATGTGAAGCACGTGTCTTCCTAATTTATCCCAAAAAATCTCACCATAGCAATAGCATCGTCTACATCATCCATGTTTCTACCCGCCACACGCCCCTTTAACGATTCAAGTGAATCTCTGAGCTTCTTTAAAAGAACGTGTTTTTCCAACGATGCTGCTTCTCTAAGCTTGGCCTGAATTTCACCAGCATATGAAAGCTCGATTAAAATAGAGGACATAAGTATCTTCGAAAAATATGTTCATTGGTTATTTCTCTGGTTTTAAATTGCAGTTTACAAACGTGATTACAGCTATGCCTAAAACGTAATGGATTTAGGCGACATGGAATTTGCATCAAAATCACGGTCATATCAGTCATATTTATTAGCGATTTCCGACAATTTCAAGAATCGCAACATGACGGTAATCAAAAACCTTGGTCATTTCAATTGAAAAAACGACATAACGAAAATCTACGATTACAAAACCTTTCAATTAAGATAGAATAAATATAATTATATTGCTAAATCTGAGCTATTCAACCAGAAAGAAGGGTACACACCTCTTCCGACAACTTAGCAGCAGCCGCCAAACCTTTCTCAAATTTACTAGCAAGATCACGAACCGAAAGACGATTATGCTGATCCAACAACTGTGCTGTCTCGCGCGCAATAACCTCCTTCATAGATAGCAGTTTTGGGTCATCCTTTGTCTCCATAATCTGATTGTTAGCCCCAATTCTGTAATTAGGAAACCGACTAGAGGCAAATATCACATCAGAAGATACCGCAGGCACTGCCTCTTTTTTCATAGTATCTCCAAAATCACGCGTTAACCTCGTCATCTCTTACAACCAATTCCCTCTATCAATCACACAAAAAATGCAACCTTTAGCTAAATATAATCAAACCCAATATAGTTAACTTATGCACAATACAAAACCAAAATCAAACAAAAAAGGAACACTCAATATATAAAGAGAGATATCACTAGCATTAAACTAATTCAAGCAAAGGCAAATTCTGAAATTTCTTCAGGTTTCTTCAAATTTCTTCAAAATGAAACTAAACTCTAATTTCCTAATTCTTTACTCTTTTATTGTTATAAAAAATTGAAGTACAAAAGAAAACAAAAGAACAAACACCAGATATGCATGAAGTCATGAACAGAGCAAAAGTATTGAACAAAACAAGCCAAAGATAAGAGATTCATACATATATAGTTAGCTTTAGCATTAACCTTATGGAAGTAAATGGAAAATCTGAGATTTTTTCAAAATGAAACCAAACCCTAGTTTCCTTTTTTTATACTATTTTTTATATAAATTAAAGCAATGAAGAAAAATCCAAGAAAAAAAGAGAAAATAGAAAAGGTTGAACTTACAAGAGATCATGAGAAGATGAAAATGGTGGTTAGGGTTGTGATTGTAGGAGTAGATGCAAAAGGTTGCTCCAATTTGGTTATTCAACACAGGAATCACTGGTCTTGTTGATGATGCTTTTTTAGAGAGAGAGAGAGAGATTGGAAGTAAGCTTTTTGAAAAGAACAAAATAAAGTGAAGAGAAGGGTGACTTTGGTGTGGCATCCGTGGGTTGTGTGGACCACACTTAGTTAGATTTTGAGAACTTTTTTTTGTTGTCTATGTTTAATTGTTTAATGTATATGTTATGAATCGGATACACGTTTTTTAATGATCAAAGAGTTAGGGTTAAGAAAGAAAACAAGATAAAATAACAAAATAACCTCTCTCCTTGAAATTAGGATTTTATCTTCCTATTTTTCCTTATGTCAAGATTGAGAAACTAGCATCCTATTTATAATAAAATAACACACTAACTTAATGGACTTTTTAACAATTAACAAGCTAACTTAAACAATTGGACTTACAAATAAGGTTCAATTCAACATGCTAACAACCCTAGCAATATTGACTAATACATGTTAGAACAAACTTCGACTACAACACGCATTACTCGCGAACAGACTTCGACTATACTAGAGTTCGATCCAACATCTCACAGTATCTTATCATAGTTTTTGATTCAGGGAATCATTTGGTAGCTGTGCAGATATTTGATTGTTGGGATATGGATTGGAATCAATGATATTTTGTAAAAATATTTGATAATAGATATACGGATTTGAGTCATCGACATTTCTCTTTTAAGTCAGTCATTTGGTAGGTCTATAGAAATATTTGATTGTACAGAAACAGATTCAAATCATTGATATTTTGTAGAAATATTTGATCACAGAAATACGTATTTGAATCATTGACATCTCGCTTTAAGTTAGTTATTTAGTAATTTTATAAAGATAATTGATTTTAGAGAAACGAATTCAAATGATTGACATTTCTTAAAAATATTTAATTAAAGAGATACAGATTCGAATAATTTACCTATTAAAATAATATGTATATATTATTCATCTATGACTAAGAATGAAAAAAGATTTGAAATGAACTATTTGAGATTGAGTAGTTAGATTATTGCATAAGCATGTTATGTTATGTTATTAAAGTAGTATTATTACTATGACTTTAAATTGAATATTTTTGGTCCCATTTCATTCAAAGCTTAGCTGTCAATAATGTTTGTTAGTTATTACTTCATTCACACTTTCTAATCTTTTTCTTTTCTTTTTTTACATGTTAACTTTGCTTTACAAAATGAATAGTGGCAACTCTTTTGTATATATTATTCACATTGAGCTTTTATTTTTGGATTTAGTTTGAAAATCTTGATAATAATTATAAAAAGGGATCTTTTAAATTGAGTTGAATTATAAAAATAGAAAAATCATATTTTGATATGTTTATATTTGTGGTGTATTGTAAAGTGACAGAATTAGAATAAATCAACTCTTTGAATAAGATATGGTCTAAAATAATTAAAATGTTTAATTAAATTTAGTTTTAACTTATGTCAAATAATTTGAAAATATAAAATAAAATTTTATATTTATTTAAAATATTGCAAAGATAAACAATTTGGTAATATTTGAATATCTAAATGTTGTAGGTCAACTAAGTTTAATTTATGTAGTAATTTAATTTTTGCTTTTGTGTGAATGTGTTAAAATTTATTTTTACTGTCTCAGTTTTTGAGGTGGTGTAAATCTCATATCTTGCCTTATTTTATTTTTTAAATATATGTTTCTCTTTAAATTATTCACAATGAAATTGAAGACTCGTTGAAAAACAAATTTAATAGGGATAAGATAAAAGAAGAAAAAAGTGATTGATATACCTTTTAAAAATAATAAAAATATTTTTAAGTCTAAAAATTTTAATGTCCATAAATCCGTCCTATTTTTCCTTCATTTTTTTTAATATACCCTTTTGTGAGGGTAGAGTTGACTAAAAATTTTAAGTTATATTTTTTGATAAATTTTATATGGTTTAAATCAATAATTTGAAGAAAACAATATATAAGTGAAAAGTCTATTCATACCAATAAAGTAAACTTGAAATTGAAAGGAAAAAAAATCGTTAAAGTAAACATCAAAGTCTAAGTCCACTTATAATAAAAATAAAAATAAAAAAATAATTGTCTATTACTACTTTATTAGTTAGTTAAGTATAATAAATAAAGAACGCAACAAGTGTCACTGTTATAAGTCATCAATAAATGCAACACTTGGAAACAAGAATTTTGCAAGTAACGCTTCATAAATTTAATTCACATGGAAGATGACATAATAGCAATGTTTTTTTATAAACGTTGTACGCGCTTTTTTTTTTTCAAAAATATAATAAAAATGAAAAAAATGAATAAATTGTTTAATCGAAAAGGATGTTATCTTAAAAGAGATAATAAATCGTGCATATAATTTTTTTAATATATAAAAAATTGTGAATTAATAATATATTTTTTGTTATATAAATTATATTTTTATATTATTTACAAAAATATTAGAATCAATAGTAATATTTTTTTATTATTATTTAATATTTTATGAATAACTTGATTTTCGCGTTTTAATTTTTTTATTTTTGTGTATTGTTTTCGTTTATAACAATAATATTTTTTTCACTTAATCTTTTTATATATTTAAAAAATTATCGATAAATTTATATAATTTAATATTTGGAATAATTTATATAATTCAATATTTGGAACAATTAGATTTATATGTAGTTTTCAATATTTTTAGTACACAGTTACAAGCCCTCTGATAAATTAACTTTTGAATATAAGGCTAAACAACAACAACAGTGATATACAGTTACTCATTTGTTAGTTTTGTAACTCTTTTACATGTAACTAGTAAGATACTCGTGCGGGTGCACGGGTGAATTTATTTGATTTAGTATAAAATATATTTAAATGTATATTTAAATTTGAAATAAATTATTTTATTATAAAATGAATAATAGTTCTAAAAATTTAATTATATTAGATAATCATATAAAAAAGTGATTCATGGGAAGATGGAGAAAGGAAAAAAAATATATATATGTTTTTTTCTTTCTTTTAAGATTTAGAAAATTGATATTTTATTTAAACGGGAATTTTTAAAGAATTTATATACGTGTTAAAAATTATGACATATGATTATACAATAAATTATTTAGAGTATATAAGATACTCATGTTATTATTATCAAAATATGAAGTATCCACAAAGTATCCATTTGTTTCAACAATCAAATGTTTCAATCCTTATCAAACTTTAAAAAAAGAAAACATGAACTAACTATTACAGCCCATACCAACCTAGCAGGCTGGAAAATAAGGTGAAAGATTCACATTATTTGCAATATGTTGATAGAAAAGTAAGGTGAGAGAACCACATTATTTGCAATATGTTGCAAGTGATCTATTAAGTCATACTCTGCTTTTCTATCATAAATTCAATTCAATTTCCTTATCTGCATATCAACATCATATTCATCACCTTTAATGCAATTGAATCCATGGTTAAATAAATATGATCAAAAACTTTAATCTATAAAAACCTATTAAAAATTCATCACCTTCGCATCATTTGACAGATGCTCAGGAATTTTAGGCATATCTTTGTTGTTTCCAATTTTAAATACGGCAGCTACCTGTCAATACAATATAAAAACAATTTTGATCTTTCATACTCATCAAACAGGATCATACATTTAAGGGGCTAGATATGAAATATCCAATATCTTACCCCTTCATACTAACTCCACGGAGGCTTCGACGCTGCCATTTCAATAAGTGTGCATCCCAAGCTCCATATATCAACTGGAAGGCTATAGCCATTTGTGTTCATTACAACCTAAGAAAGACATTGAAATACAATAGTTATGGTGAGATAGAAGAAGAAGGGAGAATCTGCTTACATTGAAAGAAATTTCATGATTCAAGAGAAAAAAATAAACTCACCTCAGGTGCCATCCAGTACGGACTTCCTTTGAATGAAAGCATTAAAGCGACAAAAGTAATTCCTACGGCCCATGTGTCTGAGGCTTTACCTCGGTAGGTAAGACCTAAAAAATATCAATAGACACAGTAGTAAAAACCTACATTTCATAAACATATTTGCCCAAAAGCATTTTACAAACATAAAATGAAAGCACATACCTAAAATACATTCAGGTGCAGTGAAAACAGGAGTTCCAAGTGATCGTCGAAGCACATCATTATCATCCTGCAAAATAAAACGATATAGGCTCCATATTAGTTTATAGAACATCCTAATGCCTACGAATATTACCAACATGTTATCAAAAACACTGCAAGGTGTTTCATTTCAGGTACTATCAGAGTGCACCAATCAGCTTGCATAGTTCCATATCATCCGAGTAATCATATTTCTTATTTTTTGAACGCGGGGTAAAAATCATATTGCAGTATCACGAAGAAAACAATGTTAGGTGAAGATACACTATTGTCCAAGTAAAGTGATAGCTTGGTTTTATTTAATGTATTTAAATTAACATTCAGGCTCAATAGTTGCATATTACCTCAAAAGTCTGGCTGACACCACCATGACGAGTAATCAACAGATTATCAGGCTTGATATCCCCGTGAATTATGTTTTGTTTTTCAAATAAAACTATTGTTAAACATTCCAGTAACATGATCAAAAAATAATTCAAAGCATTTTAAGACTAAGTATGAGCATTAAACATAAACAATATGATGTTTCGCAAGTTGTTTATTACTGCATGATGATACGTTTGTGTACGTGTGCATGAGTGTGAGAGAGAAACTTAGTCAACATTACATGAGCATGGAGATACATTAATCCAGAAATGATGTCACGCAAGTATCTCCTAGCAGTCTCTTCACCTAAGCTACAAGCTCGACCAGAACCCTCACAAACCCATTTATCTTCGACATATTCAAGTACTGTATTCGGAAAAAAGAAAAAAATCAGTAAGTCAAGCTTATAAGCAAAAGTGAGACTCACATCTTAGAACTTTAGAGATAGGTTTGGATTTAGGGAACTCCATTGTCCCTGTCCCAACAGATCTCAGGCTCTCTTTGTCAACAGTTTTCTCTCTTCCTTTCTCTTCATACTCATTATCATTCCATAGATACGCAAGCATGTGACAAACTAACATCATCATCCTCAATGAACTTCACAAAATCAAACAAACAACAACAAACCAAAACTAATAAAAATAGAGAAGTCAAAACCTAAAATAAAGTATAACAAAATAAAATAAAGCTTCAATATGATAAATTAACAGCAAGACATAAAATAAACAACAATAAATCAGCCATGAATGAGAAGTAAAGTTGAAAAATGATGTTAAATATAAACAAAAACATCAACAAACCATCTTGAATTAGAAGTAGATAAAAAAAAATTCAAAGAGATGAGAAAAAAAACAGAATTGAAAAACCTGTTACACAAATCACTGATAAGAACCTAAGGTTTCTTCCCTTCAAGTTCATATAAATGAGGAACATTTTCCTCTCCTTTCTTTGTCCTTGTAAGCTGAAAAATATCGTGAAGGATAAACAATAATGAGTTAAAGAAGCTTACAATGAAAGACAATCATATAACTACAACGTTTTAATAAGAGATATTTATCATTCACTTGGGACAACAAAAAATGGTATAACATCAATGCTCAAACTCTAATTCAAACTCTAATACATATTATTTAAAATATCAAGTAACTACAAAATCTCTTCACTTAAGCATAGATTATACGGGCATATACCTCCTTCTGAAGTCGAAGATAATGTCTAGTCTTCTCCGCAAGTTGAGCTCTCAATGCTAAAAGCTCATGTTCCATATCCATGACATATAGATCAATCAACAATGAACATATTCATTTCCTTAAAATAACTTGATGAAGTTGAAGAAAATAAGAAGAAATCCAATTCTCGGTGAGACTGAATGGGGATAGTATTTCATGTATACCTTGCTTGGTTGATGGAGCATTTTGATTCTTCGAGCCTCTTGAACCTCCTTCATTAATTGTTCCACGTCCTAAAGGAACAAAACCAAAAAAATTTCACACAAAAATTTACTCAGTTAACACCAATCTACCAGTATTAGTTTCCTGACAAAAAATCAAGATAAGGCACAAACCTGCTTCCCAGAAGCTTGAGACATTCTCTCGTCACAGGTGAAAAACCCAGAAGAACAAAATTCCTCCATCTTCCAAAAAAAACCTCTCACGATATCCCTCTTTCAATGACGATTTTAATGGCGGCGGATTTAGCGGAGGAACAACAATGTCAACTTGCAATGTCAACTTGGAAAACAACAGAAGTAGAAGAAACGAAAACCCCCAAAAAAGTGAAGAAACGAACCAGAAATCTTTGATGTTAGCAGAAGTTTGATGATGTTTGTGGGGAGGAGGGAGCAATATAGTGGGATTACAAGAAGTTTGATGGGTAACTCAAAGTTCAGATGTTTGTGGGGGAGGAGGGAAACAAAGGTTGGCTGCATCCAATCCACACTTGACAGATGGCAAAAGGTGAGGGGTTTCAAAGAGAAGAATTTTGGCATTTAGGTGTTTACTGTTTTGTCTAATTTGTAGTGTAATAAATTTTAAAGGAAAGGGCAGTGAGGTAATCTTGGTCAAGTTTTTTTTGAAGTGTTGATAGTTGATTGATGTATGAATATCACTTTTTCCTTGCATCAAGAACTACACATCAAGAAATAGTAAAAAAATGTTTAGCCACAAATGTTAGATAATAAACGCATACAATCACATCTCATTCGTTGACTAGAAAGTAATCAATGTTAAGAAAATTATAAATGTGTTGCTTCCTGTGACCTCTGCAACGGTTAAACTAGCAGCAACAACAACATTGAGATCAATGTGATCAAAATCAATTTTGACAATCAAAAAGTAGCTCTAAATTTTTAGCTTTCTTAATTCTTTTGGCGGTAACATATGCATGGTGAAATGGTGTAGATATCAGGACATGAAGATTAGAAATGTGCTTCTCGAGTTTTGATAACATGACAACAGTTAGTCATAAGTTCAAGCAATCACAAACTTTCAATATTATCCACATGTTTAAAATTCAAGAAAACAAATATAACATGAATACCAAACATGACATGGACACCAAACAAGACTCATATACACGCCTTCAAAGGGGTGGATTAATTTGGCAAAATGTTTACCAAAATTGAGTCCTTTGTCATCAGTGACAAAGTATTCATGTCCTTATAAATTTCGCAGACCATCGTAAAACCACTGAAAACGCCTTAGCTGCCCCCATCTCCCCGATTCTTATTGATACCCTTTTGCTTCAAGCAACTACCACAGAAATCGAAAAAACTTCCAATGTTATTCAAAACAGAAACATTAAAATGAAATTTCAACTTACAATTAATCTCAGTGTCACCATAGTTGATATATCAGGCAGATCAACCTGAACCCTGATGGAAACAGAAAACCAGAACTGGAAAAATTCAATGAGTACAGAGCTATGATAAAAGGCTTAGTTCAAACAAATATAATTGCAATTGGATATTATTATACCAGTTAGCAGTACAGGGATGAAGCATGTATAGTCAAACTACCTTTCTAGGTGAATCTAAGTATTATTGTTTCCAATTGATGTATAAGATATCTCACAACTCTTAGCTACTGTCTCAGTCTCATCAGAAAAAAGAAGATTTCCATCAGCATCAGTCCCCTATAAGAAGGGAACACTGCCATCAGCATCATGTTACATAAGGATGTCATCCACAGCCCATGCACATAGCTTAACAACATAAGAAAAGAAACATATGCAGCATAGCATATTGTCATGAAAATGTCTCTCACAGAGTGAGCTGCAAAAGGGTCTTCATAAGCAAGACACACATCACCTTTACTTTTTTTATTTTTCATTTGCATAAATCTTTATGTTGTAAGTCCATTGAACTTTATAACCCCTCTTATTCTTAATTCTTCCAACCTTGGCAGTTAAAACACATGTAAAAAAATATTTAAAATGCTAAACCCTCTATTTCTCAACATAGAGAATTAAAAAACCTATTTCCACCATTACGATTGAGTTGCATTACTTATAGAAACTGTAGTTGAATATGTACCTCAAAAATATTTTTTCAAGAATCTTATATCAAAAATATCATATTGCTCAAAGCTTCAAATTCTGATTTAATTACGGTCATTGTTCTTGCAAGTCTACCGGCAACATCCTCAACATCCTTAATATTCTGGTCCAACAAAAAGATCTTTCGCATATAATTATGAAATCTTTGCATAGTGTCAATGAATGTTAATGAATGAAAGAAGAAAACCAGTAAGTTTGCCAATAGTGCACTTGCACAAATTAAAAATCATTAAATTTTCAATTAGGGTGAAGTATCAATACAGTTAAAAATCTAAACAAAGTGTTATTTAGCATCACTTACTTTATCATGAGACAAAAGCTCAAAGGAAGGACCAAAACATCCATTTTTCGAAGCCTCAATAAACTCCCTTCTTCTATCAACTTCTTCAACTGCAAAAAATAACAAATCCTTTTTCATGAAAAAACAAAAACTACTGAAAACCAAAAACATGGAAATGCTACAATCACAAAAATAATGAAAACCCAAAACATGGAAATGCTCTGAATACTCGAAACCTTAATCTTCTCCAACTTGATATTTTTTATCCCTTGATTTTGTTTATGTGAAAGGTGGAGTCTCTCATATATATGTTTTGTGATTTTCCCTATAAAGAAAGATCATTTTTGTGTTCCCGACAAACATTACCCTACTAAGAAAATTCATATAAACATGTATGCTAGAGAGAATAGATTAGAATCATTTAGAAAATGTCTCTAATTCCCATACACTTAAAATTTTATACTCTTGACAAAAATCGGGTTCATAGCTATGATAAAAAAAATACGTGATGTAATTCCAAAAAAATTAAGAATGCAAAGTTGCAAATAATTACACATCCCAAAATTAAAGGATTGTAGCAATATTGAGTAATGTCATGTGAAATTCAAAGTGAGTAAGAGAGAAAATCAACCAAAAAGTGGGTCGCAAGTGATATAATCCTCACATGATATAAATAAAATACTCTTATATACTTAAGTGTTTAGGTTATTGTCTACACTCAAAATGCATTATGAAAGTTAGCACTACCATAGACTTGACAAACATCTAATGTTCACATTTGAACACATGCATATATAGATCAAAAGATCTTTATTAAGGTTGTAACTTGGCCAAAGTCAATGTGGGATGATGCTAAGGAGAACTAACAATTATCAGGAATGGTTTGCCTAAAATGAAATGCCCATCGGTGGCCTTTGTCTCCCTTTTCATGTCAAGGATGTATATTTTTTAAGGAAAAATTATATTTTAAACTTTAACAAGTATATCCTTGACAAATCTAGTAGGATGAGCACTACTTATGTTTGCTAGCTGAATGACAACATTTCTTGAGTAGCTATAATTGTTATATGATTACAGATACATTTCTAAATATGTTTAATCTAGCATTCCCCTTAATCTTCCTCTTTTTATGTACAAAACTCATTAAGGAACTTAGTATATATAAGAATTTGTTTGATTTCCTCAAAGAGAAGAATATATGTCTTAAACTTCTTGAAAATATCCAAGTTTTCTTTCTCTTTCTTGGCCTGATAAATTATTGAGAGTTAATGGATATATTTTTAATCAATCTTGTGACATTTGCAAGAGTTTTATCAACTAGTGTGCATCCTTTAACATCACTCACGATGTTTTGATCCATATGCAATAACCTTTCATGAAAATATTGGATGAATAGTTGCTAAGATATTTGATGATGAAAACAACTTCCAGACAATTTATTGAATCTCCCTCGGTATTCATGCAAGTGTCCTAATTGAATTTGCAGGATGTCACATATTTATTTCTGTTGATGTTTGAGTAAGATAAATGCAGGGGAATAAAACTCAGAAGCTGGTTTGAAGAAACAACTTAAATGGATAAGCTGGTTGAAGGCTGCATTTCAGTTTTGACAGTTGTAACAGTTAGTTTTTTTGTTTTTGTTTGTTACATGTTTAGCACTATATAAGGGAATGTATTGTAGTGTGTAATAAAAAATATATACCATTGTGAATAAAGTTTCTCAGTTCTCCTCAATTATCTCTCTCTCTCTCTCTCTCTCAATTTCATCTTCATCTTCCCCATTTTCCCTTTCCACCATTTTTATCCACCCTCCATTGTTTTGTGTTCTAACATTTGGCATCAAGAGCCTTGGTTCTGATCCAGTTATCTGCTGCAAACATGACTACCGTTTCCAACGATCGAATCCCTTCCAATCTCCCAATTCTCGATTCGAAAAACTATGACAAGTGGGCAAAGCAAATGAAGGTATTGTTTGGGTATCAAGATATTCTTGATATCATCAACAATGGTGTTATACCACTTGGGGCAGAAGCTACTGCTGCTCAATAATCTACAAATCAAGAAGAGAAGAAGAAAGATTACAAAGCACTCTTCTTGATTCATTCTTGTGTCGATGCCGACAACTTCGAAAAGGTGGGTGATTGTGAATCCGCGAAACAAGCATGGGAAGTCCTTCAAAAGACATATGTTGAGGCTGATAAAGCCAAAGTTGTGAGGTTACAAACTCACAAGCGCCAATTCGAGTTAATTCAAATGGAGGAGAAGGAGTCGATATGCGACTATGTGACGCGCATAACGCGATTAGTGAACCAAATCAAGGCTTGTGGTGAATCCCTAGAGGAAAAGAATGTTGTGTACAAGATCTTGTGTTCTTTAACGCCAAGATTCGACAACATCGTAGTGGCTCTAGAGGAGTTAAAGGATCTTTCAACATTGACCAAGAATGAGCTTCAAAGTTCCCTTGAAGCTCACGAGCAAAGAATGGATGAAAAAAGTAATGGCAAGGTCAATGTGGAAGTGGCTTTGCAAGCACAGTTCAATGACAAGAACAAGCGTCCAAAAGGGAGATGGAATCTGAGAGGGAAGCCTAACTTTGATGGCAAGGATCCACAAAATTCAAGGGCTTCATCAAGTCAAAGAGAAGAGGGCAGCTCCAAGCAAGGTGGTGGTCATGGAAACTATAGAAAGAAGATTGACAAGAGTGGTGTGAAGTGTTATAATTGTCAAAAGCTTGGTGATGAGGCAAGGGTTGCAAGGCAAGATGCGAAGGAAGATGATATGCTTCTTGTGATGATCAC